TGAAAAGTCTGATTAGTTACCGTATTTTTCATCTAAAAATCTACCTAAAATCAAATAATCTTATTTACTAAAGTTACCTTTTACATGATAATTTTATATATTGTAAAATGCTTTACCATTTATCAAAAAATTCCCATAATAAAAGCAATCTCGTGCTCAAGAGTTTTGAAAGGGTCGGGTCAACAATCCACGTGACCCACGGATAAAATTAACTACACTAGTTATTTGTATAAACCATTTTAATCATTTTTTTGGTAATGATAATTGACTTATGTGCCTTTTTTGGGCTGGGTATACAATGTACTCGATCTAATCTACTTATGTTTTTACTATACTTGCTGCACAAAGTGTACCTGGTAATATATATTAATATTAATATTTATATTAATTAAAATATTTTTGGTGGCCGCGTAACATTAGTAAAATTAAATCTATCGTTACCATTAATACAATAAGAATTTGTATTACCCAACATAACAACATTCATCATTAAAATAGTTTTATGGTTAGATCTTAGATCGTCAAATTTTTACTCCAGAATTTTATATAACTAATTATATATATGAACTTTGACCCATCTGCAGCAGTATAAATTAAAATGTACCATCAAAGGATATTATTGTTATTTATTTTTGCTTCAGTTATTCTGTATACTTGGATACATTTTTATGACAAACTGACAAATGATGATCTATATATAAAAACTTATGGGACAAAAACCGTTATTACTAAAGAAATCTTTTTACACGTTAATCAAACAGTTGAAGCATTATCACCTACACATACAGTAATCCGACATGTTTTAAATCATGACAACGCCAACAAAAATAATAAGAATAATGAGAATAACAATAAATTTCCAATGAATAAAACTACAATAATCAAAAGTGTTGATGGTAAACCTAAAGAATACGTTTCACCAGAATATTATGTTAATTATTTAGAAATATTTAGAGGACAACATCATGCGATGCTAAAAGATTTAATTTATAGAGCAGATAGAGCAGTAGGAAATAATTCTGTTTATTCGGTAACTTTAAAACCACAACTAGCACCATCAAAAAATCCACATGATTATTTATCATTAGCAAGATATTTTTGGCCTAATCCAGAAACAAAAAATGGCTTTCCTTATGTGAAAAAAGATGGATTTGCAAATCCAGAAATCTTTCTTGTTAAAGACTATCAATACTTGAGAGCTTTGTTTCATGATATTCAATATCTGGGATTTGCTTATTTTTTCACAAAGAATGAAACTTATGTCGAGAAAACTCTGTATAGATTGGATGAATGGTTTTTAAACGATACAACTAGAATGAATCCTAATATAAATTATGGTAGTTTAATTAAGGGCTCTCGATTAGGAAGAAGAACCGGTGTATTAGATTTTCATCCTGTTTATAGGTAAATATTAATGTTTTTTTTAGATTTATACATTTTTTTATTTTCATTTTTTAATAATTTAATTATAAAATTTTTTTAGAATGATACAGTCGATATATTTAATGAGATCATCAAGAATTTGGAATTTTGAAATTGAGAATGGTGTTAAGAAATGGTTAACAAAATACTATGATTGGTTAGAAAATAATCTAATGGGAATAGAAGAGAAAGAAGCACCCAATAATCATGGTACATATTATGACGTACAGGCAACTTACATTCTACAATATCTGGATAGAATAGATGAAGCTAGAATTTATTCAAAACAAGCATTAATAAATCGTATCGAGACTGCTATATTACCATCAGGTCGACAACCTCACGAAACAAAAAGGCCGACCAGTTGGTTTTACTCTATATTTAATCTAAATGCTTTATTCTTATTGGCCGAAAGAGCGAACTATTTTGGATTTGATGGATGGCGGTATAAAAGCAAGAAAGGTCAAAGTATCAAGAAAGCCGTCGATTATTTATTGCCTTTTGCTTTGAATGATGGTCATGATTGGCCGTTTAGAAATATTGGAGAGTTCAAGTATAATGATTTTGTTAAAATATTAGAATTAAGTTATATAATTTATGGAGATAACAAATATCTAGATGCTTTAATATTATTAAGACCTAAAGCTAAATTGGAACAAGCTTCACGTAATAGTGGTGCAACTTGGGAAGATAATTATTTATGTAATTGGAGTCTTATGACAAATAGTCAATTATGGACCTGTTTAGAATAAATGATTTTTTTTAGAATTAAATATTTTTTTTTTGATGGACTTTTTTAAAGCATCCAATACATGATTTTTTTTGTTTGTGTAATTTTAAATAGAAAATAAATTTATAATAATAAATATGAAAGATCCAAATATTTTGGTTCCTTTATTAATTTATCAACCAAACTTACAAATTTAATTCTAATCGTATTGATGAAGATGAAGCTGATAGTTGCAAACCTCAAAAAAAATATAGTTCGTTTTTTCTTCACAATAACAATAATAATTCATCATTTCTATCAATTTTTAAATCAATTTTAATATTAATGAAATGATAGTGATAAGTTTGAATCATTATCATTTGATTCATTTTTTTGTAGTGATGATGACGATGTTTTTTTAGTGATGATTATTGTTATGATGACGGTGACGACGACGATGACAATGATTTTATTTAAAGAAAATTTTTGAAAGCATTAAAAAATACTCGAGAAATTTTTTGATGATATTGAATGATGATGATGATAGGCATAATAACGTTGGATGTGCTTTCACAGCTGTTGAAATCATTGTTAAAATAGATAATATTGCTATTGATTTACCATCAGCAACAAAAGTTCTTTCTTTCTTCTTCAACTAGTAAAATTATGAAAGAAACCAACGATGAAAATAAAATGTTGCTGGTGTTGTTATCAGCACAGAAGATAATATTTTGAATGATGGAAGTGAAGAAGTCATACTATTTCTATAGATTTTACAAAATCCGATTCACAAAAATCTTGACATCTCAAATAAATTTTCATGCATAACAACTAATATTATAAAACAAACAATTCTACTGCTGCTACTGGTGCTGCTATTGCTACTACTATCGCGATTACATCACCAACATCAATCAATTCTTATAATAATAATAACAATCACTTATTCTCTATAAGCATTATCTTTGCTATTTTATTATTAATTATATAATAAATAATTATAATAATAATAATGATGGTAAAAATGATAGAGTGGTATTTTCTTTAGTCCAATGGAGAGAGGAATTGGTGGTAGTGATGGTGTTGTTGTTGTTGATCATCAAGAAGAAGTTAAAGAAGTTGATGATTTAGAAAAATGTGGATTATTAAGAGGTGATAAAGATGATGAATTATGACGGTAATTAATTAAAATTATATACATTACATAATAAATTATAAATTTTTTCTCTATTAATTTACATTCTTGTGCGAGTATTAATGTCAATGTTAATATTGGTGAATGATTATTAAAAGATTTTTTTTTTAAAAACCGAAATATATTATGATAAATTAATTTGTATATTTAATATATAATCCACGGGATTGTTCCAAAAATACAAAAGTCAATAAAGTGTGAGGGCTAAAAAATAATAATAAATTATTATTATTATTATTATAATACTCAATAATTATATTCAAATTTTCAATTTAAAAGATAGTAAATAATCTACCCAATTCTAAAGTAATGAGCCACAAATCCTTTATACAATCCAAAGATTCCTTCTGTCCTGACTGTTTTAATAAAACAGTCTAAAGTATTCTTATAAAGGCTGTTATTATAATATAGAATTGTAAATATTAAATATATAAATATATGATTCACATAAATATATATATAATCAATCACATACACGCACACACAATATGCATACAATATACACACCTTCCTTTCCCAGTTTTCTCAACTTTTTGATTATACATTCGTGTGCTAATAACATCAAAAGGATTCATTGCTGTGCATACACAAAGACCACTCAAAAGACTTGAAAACACATGAACTAAAATATCAGAATCAGTCAATCCTGTTTTCTGTATCGTCCACCTTTTTATATAGAAATAACTTGACAACTGAGTAGCCGAACCAACTCCTGTTCTCAGCATTGCTGCGTCCACACCCCTAAACAAATCTTTGATGCCCCCTTTCTTACTAATTTGTTTCAATGCATCAAATGTATTTTTGTAAGAATGTTGATGTCCAACTGCCATAATATGTTGTGAATGGGATTGCATTCTGGTTTTCACCAGGTAAAACGGTGATCCTAATGCCGCTCCGATAACTCCTGCCAGTCCACCTGATAATATACTTATAGGCATAGATGTATTTGATACATTGAGAAATCCTATCAACGAGTTACGTATTGGATCATAAAAACCTAAACGTGAACCATTCATCACAAGTTGATATACGTATGCAGGCCCTTTTTTCATTTATTGGAATTATAGTTTTTTTAAAAAAATAATCATGATTAATATAAATGCTAAGTATATATACGAATATATATTAAGAATATTATCTAACAACCTATGCCTTTTTGAATTCCTCGCAAGCCTTCACGTCTAACGATCATGGAAAATGCTTGAAATACATTTGTGTAAGGTTTTATATAATTAGAATTACCACGAGCCAATTCACCTTGAAGTTGTAATCGTGTTTTAACCACCTATATATATGGATACATTCCTTCATTATATATAATTTATAGATAATTTTTCATTTATCAAAAAAATCCAAATAATTACTGACCTCCCACGGATTAGTGAATGTGACTGCACCACAGGCAGCTACTCCTCCGACAAAAAATCCCGGTATGGCACCAATTTTTTCTTTAGCTATTGCTGTGTTTATTGCTTGATTTTTTGTAAACAATTTTGCGGCAGAATTATTTACCGCTGTCGTCGTTGTCGTCGGTGTTTCTGTTGTCGTTGTTGGTGGTGAAGGTGGTACTTGTGTTAAATTTGATGACATGCCTGTAAAATTTAGAAATTTTTATCTTTGATTAAAAAAAAAATGATGAAATGATGATCATTAACACAAATAAAAAAAAGAAAATTTGCCGTGCTACTAACTTTTTCTAAATTCCGTAATTTTTTGTCGATTTTGC